GAATCGAGTACGAACAAAAAGATTACGGTCAATCTATTGCCATCGGCAAATCCAAAATGGCCGCCCCCTACGTGCGTCGGCATGGCGCGTCGGGCATTTCTGCCTATGTGTTTCCCATGTGCGGCACTTCGTACGTGTGCTGAGGAGTTCGTCATCTAGTAGTGCACTAGCATTGACGGCGTGGAAGGGCTGACTCCAAAAACTCGAGTGCACCACGATGCCGCTTTTAAAAGAAAAGTCATCGCGTGTGCAGAAACGGACAAAAGTCGGGCCGCATCGTGGTCGTTCGGAGTTCCCGAAACGTGCGTGCGGGATCGGCGGAAACAAAAGCAGAAGATTGTCGACAGCAAAGCTTCACGCAAAGGCTTCAGTGGACCACAGCAGGGTCGGTTTCCGCAAATTAAAGAGCTGCTTGGCGAGTATGTGCTTGAGCAGCGAGCGGCACAGCGGCCCGTGACGACAGAACTGCTCGAAGTGCGGGCTATGCAATTAGTCTTAAAAAAAGGTCTAATGCGGAGCCAGTTTAAAGCGAGCAGGTGCTGGCTAACTAACTTTATGAAAAGGAAAGGCTTTTCCCTCCGAAGGAGAACATGCATATGCGAAAAGTTTTGCGGAGGAGTACGATGAAAAGCTTCACAGTTTTCAGAGGTTCGTCCTAAACTTGCGGCGCAACAACGGCTACCTGCTTGGGCAAATCGGGAATGCCGATAAGACGCCTCTTTACTTCGACATGCCTGGCACCACAACCGTTGAGAAGAAGGGGGCGAAGCAAGTTCACGTGCTGACATCGGTCCACGGTAAAACTACAGTGACGGCAATGCTGTGTTACACGTCAGATGGGCACAATCTTCGCCCGTACCTCATATTTAAATGGAAGACGTTCCCGAAAGGAGTCATTTTTTCGAGTGGTGTGATCGTGCGGGCCAGCGAGAAAAATGGGTGTGCGATGCAATCGATGTCTTACTTTTTTTTTTTTCCGCCGTGGAAATTGGGTGCGCGTTACAATCGAGGGCGCGGTAGAATCGAGTAAATACGGTACTTCGATGGAGTTTACTACTCCAAGAGTACCAGTTCACCATTACGCATATTAAGGGTAGCGAAAACATGAGAGCTGATTACTTGAGCCGGATATAGTTCTTGAGGTCTATGAGCATGTTATTTTTTTTTTCCTTTCGTCGCTTGTTTTCTGTTTGTATGTGCATATTTCATTGTACAAGAAGTGTATTTTGAGTTATTTTCTTTTTGCTTGGTGCATTGATTGTTTTTACATGTTGTAATGCACATTGAAGGATTTCACTACAGTAGAGGAGCGCACCTGTTCCGTTTTGTTTCGTAGTATACATTCGTGCAGTGTATTTTGTATTGATGGTTGCCGTACACACCTATTTCTTTTTCTTGTTTGTATGGCGCATTGATATTGTTGCGTGTAACTGAAACTGGTACTCTAACAATTGTTTTTTTCCCTTTTTGTTGTTACTTCGATGCACTCTGCCTATTTATGTTGTGTATGAGAGGGACAGTCCTCATGTCTCCCTTGTTGGTGATGTTTTGTTCCTTGTTGTCGAAAAATTCCCCTCCGTGTGAGCAAATGTTATGAATAACATTCTGAAAGTGGGGGGCAGTGTCACGGACGGCCAATTTTGGCAGCCCTGCGTCACGGCAATTAACGGGCGCCGTACTTCCCCACTGACCGTGGGAACGGCGGGCGCATGAAAGAGAGCCGAGAAGTGCAAAATGGGGTGCTCTTCTTGGAACGTCGCCGCCGAAGTTTGATCCTTTTGTAACTGCGGCGGCGTCTGCAAGGTCGTGGAAGGCTGCGATGTACCCCGAACATGGATTAGACTACTGGACGCATCGGCTGAGAGCCAAACAGTCTGACCGTTTCCCACAGAGGAAACCGTGGGAAAACCTCTGGTGGCCAAGCCATATGACAACACCCCAACAGGTTGTCACTCTCGCTAGTTGAGGGCCCTCTCATAATTTGGGGGGCAGAGTTTCCATCGATGAAACGCGCATGATTGGACCCATGTAGAGGTCTCTTGTCCCCAAGGAAGAGAGTGAGGAGACACGAGGGGGATTTAAGCGCAGGATTTTGCCCTGCTAGGCAGACTGGTCGCTGACCAACATGGTGTAGAAACAGATCAACAAGCATCTCTTCTAGAAGTTTTTAGTGTGGCTCTGTATCGGCTGGCCACCTAAACTTAGCGGTTCGTCTAGTTGTGACGCGATATTAACGTCTGCAACGTAGACATCGGGACTTCGCCTCGAGTTAGCTCAACCTGCTCGAAGGCACCTGCAAGCACTAGTTTCCCGGAGCCACCAGCATTGCAACACCGCTGACATCGCAGTCGTGCCAGAACTCTCTTCGACTTCTCGCATCTGATCGTCGGGGACACAATGCTGCCGGTCATCACACTTATGCCTTCACCTGTTTATATCTTCGAAATTTCTCCTCCGTAGTTCTATTGTTGTTAGTTCGTGTAGTTTGTAATAGTTCTCTCTCGTAAGCTGATTTATTGTTCTTTTATGTATTTTTTAGTTGTATCAAGTATTGATGTATTTTGTTAGTTGTATTGAAGTATTGTATCAGATCCCGTATGCAGCAATATCACTAGAGTAAAGTTTGTTTTGTTTTCTCACGTCTATGATCTCTTCACTGTCTCTGCTTGCGTACGGAACGAACTAACCTGCTGTCATTCCCGTCGCCGACTTCGCGCTGGCGACGCTAGAGTGGCAGCTTGTAACAAGCCCGTCAACTTTCCTGGCATGCCGTCAAGTTCCGGTCATCCACAGTATCATTGAGGCTTCTCAAGTAGGCGAATTCGGCACCTTCGGCCAAAACAGTGTAGTATGAGGAAGAGCGTTGATGGAAGCTTTGCAGCAGGGCAAAAGGTTCGTTAGTGGCGGCATCGAAAGCACTGGCATATTTATAACCGTACGGGTGCAACAGCAGCGTCGTCATCTGCTCCAATGAGGTTGCTGCTCAGTGTACCAGACAGTGCCCGGAAAAGCTAAGTCGCCAAACTACGTACGCCATTGCGAGTGGTCATGATGCACCCAAAGTCGTCACCTGGCCTGCGAGGAATGTTTATGACGGTGTTTCACTTGAAGTTGATCCAAGCGCCAGTAAATTTTTATTGCTACTTGCGAGTCAACATTCCATTCGACTCCCGAATGGAATTTATCAGAAACGAGGCCAGGAAAGAGTTCACAGGTCCCGAAAGTGCAAAAGAGCGCAGAGTTCCCGGCGTCGACATCTTGGCAATATCGGTGTCACGTGTGGCTTCGTAGATGGCAGCCGTTGCTTCCAGCTGCTTTGATGCGAAAAACGAGACAAAGTGTAGCCTCCGAGACAAGTGTTTTGAAGCCAAAAACACCAAAAATACGTCACGAGGTCGCACATTTTCAAGTCTGTGCTTTTCAGGCTGGCATGCGAATGTGCGCTAACAAGAAAGGAAATGCGAACATTGCTATGAAATCGCCAAATCACTTTGCATTATCTTTTGGGTGTCTTTGGCAATCGGTCTTTTTGAAAAACACTACGCCCGCGCATTAAGGCCTGCACAGTGTGCATCAAACATACCGGTGCACTCGCACGCACCATGCAACGAACCAGATTAACAGTGCCTTTTTGTCACATGCACGCGAAAAGGGATCTGAACTTGTTTGAACGCGACCGAAAATTGATCAGTATTTGGTAGGAAAAATGCAGTTCCTGTAATTTGGCGTGGTGCAGCGTTCAATAATGCAGACATCCCGCTGTGCGGGAATACGAGTGCACCGGTCTCGTACTTTTGCATAAGGAAATTCAAGGCGGTTTCTCGAGTGTTTGATATAGCCAATAGTTCGATATATCCGAGTTTGATATATCCGGAATCGACTGTATTAAAAGAACAAGTATAAATTAAACGAATTGACTGTATTAAAATAAAAAGTATAAATTAAACTCAACACAAGTCGAAACAAGAACCAGGGAAATGAGCGAGAACGATAGCGGGGAGTTTTAGTACAAAGTACACTGAATGGCTCAAATCAGCCCTTTGCTATCGCAGAAAGAAGAGAAACGCTAGAACTAACACATACGGCACCATACAGATGTAAAAACACTCAGTACCAAGTTTCACTCAATTCCCCCCCCCCCCCCCCCCCCCAAAAAAAAAAAAAACACTGCACATTTCAATGGACTTGTAGCCACATCCTTTGAAATGAATGAACAACAAAAAAGATTGCAAGTGGTGGCGCCATTTAAGCGCAGCTAGTGCAAACACGCACAGGTTCTAGTTAGGCTTTCTGAGCTGCTAATTGAGAATTCATCTAAAAATAACGCTATCTAATCAACAGCAGGCAACTGATAAAGCATCATTATCAAAATCTAAATTAATATACGAGTGCTAGAGCTGAATAGATGGACTAAAAAGTGCAGTTAGATGACTCAACAGATCCAAAGTGGACAGCTCTCAGTTTGAAAAGCGCTGCCATCTTGACTTACATACATGTGAAACCCCAAGCACACATTCGCACCGAGGGGTATGTTTTGACAACAGCACAGGTCCGTCACCGCTTTGGCTGCATTTATGTTCAACACACGTGCAGTGTGAATCGCAATAGTAATGCCAGCGCTAAATCATTGTGTTTGGCGCTACCCACTGTTCAAGAGTGGCTATTGTCAAAGCTGTAATTGCGCACATTAGAGTACCCCACTTCTGCAGCATTTAGAGTAACAGACTAATTCACAACTCATCACATCACACCACGCAAGTCTGAAAAAGGTTGTGACAATATTCCACACTGTTCTGTCTCATACATACGCAGACCTCTCAAAGTCAGAAAGTCTGAGGTGCAACCACATTCCTTGCAATGCGAGGACCAATTTAGGGATGGCTGACCATTGAAGAAAGTCATATCACTGAGAAGTCGACAAAATACATACTTGGCGGTCATTCGGTTCGGTTGGACATCCAAACCATGCACATAACACCCATCAACGCCATGACACCCACCCGAGCATGGAGCTCCCAGACGCAGGTATCGTAGGCCATGAGTATTTCAACGTAGAACCGCGACTGCGCAAGCTCAACGAAATGCTGAAACGTTCGTCCTCGAGTTGGTGCCAGGATCACGGCGAGGCCCTGCGATTGAGTTCAGTTCGTTCAGTTAATATTAAAGGAACATAAAACTGAGAAAAAATGTCGTTCATATGTAGTGATTTGTGCAGTTATAAATCTTGCGTCACCTGCAGCTCCGCTAGTGTGAAATGCGAAGAGTGGGCACAGGCAACGAGTTATGCTCGTTTGAAGAGTTCCCATTGCTACGTTAACCGAATCATCGATGACGCCAATGTTTCAGTTCCAGTTTATTGCTTCCAAAAGAAGTATTATAAAATCAAGAAATACATGCAAACCTGGTTATAACGAAGTTGGACATTACATGAAAATGAGTTTGTTATAACTAAAAATTTTTTATAAAGGTGTATTTTTAGCACTATGTCGATTGCAGGACTACTCTTCATTCACTTCATTATAACTGATATTTTGTTATATCGAGGTCAGAACCCGGGTTAAATATACCAATATAGAGGTAACACACCAAGTGAACGGAATTTTTTGCAAAATAACAACACATTATATAAAACGTTTACAATCAGATCAGTGAAACATAAAAAAGCACAGGAAAAAACCAAAGGTACAAGTGAAAAAGAAAAAGTCGATTTTACAAGAGCCACTTATTGCAGGTAGTGATGCCTCCGCTCAATTTCAAAGGCTGCGAGGAAACCATGAGATTCAATAGCTGTAGGCAAGTCATTCAGTGAACAAAGATGTCTTTTTGATGTATTTACTATGAATTGGGGGTAATGAAAAATTGTTATTAGCTGCCAACCTTCAGGTATGTATGTAGAGCTTCTCACGTACAATTGAAATCTTGCTAGGGAGATTCGCAAACTCGGTGTTCGAGAGCTGCCCTACATTTCACTGTACTTCATCCGACTTCCTTTATGATACGACAGTCGAGATACAGTCGAAACCTGCAATAACGAAACCTCGCGAGTACGAAATCCCCGCTGCAACGAAATATTCCGGATCTTCGGCGAACGTTCATAGAAGCCCATGTATTACATATCTCACGGCAACGAAATGTTTTTGGACAGCGATTCCGCATTATCGAATTTTCTCCCATGGTGCAGGCCTTATTTTACCCTCCCGCCAAACGTTAACTGTCGAAAATATGCTCGTATGTGCGTTATGCGCACTCAGAAGTTGTAAATGTCTACTTTTGCCGCGCTAGCGTGGGTACCGCCATTTTTGTTGACTTAAATCGGCGATGGGGTCTGTGTCCGGCAGCATGCCTGGCCACACTGCAGCAGGCGATGGCAAATGATCATGCTGGAGTACAGATGGCGCCGTCGGATGAACTCAACAGGCCGAAGCAACACCAACAGTTGGACTGTAGTGCTTACCACATTGACGGGACGAAGCTCACTTATGTGCGCTTGGTTTTTTTTCCACCGAACTGCACTTCCGTTCTGCAGCCACTCGACCAAGGCACAATTCGGAGCTTCAAGTGCGCATACAGGGAGAGGTTGATCCAGCGTCTGCTACTCAGCCTCCGCCACAAGCGTTCCACCGACATCAACTTGTGCATCGCTTTCGAGATGGTGGCCGCCGCACGGCTTGCAAAATCCCCCGCGCTGATTCAGAACTGCTTCAAGCACGCGGGCTTCACCCCCACCATGCAAGCATCACGCACGGTTTGCGCTTTGGCCTCACCAGACGAAGATTTCGACGAAGGCGCACTTGACGGCGAGAGTGGTGGCAGTGCAGTGCCTCTATCCCTGAGGGGATAGAGGCACCGCACTGCCTCAGGATAGAGGCCTGGGGGGAACTTAGAGCCATCGACATTGACATCCCAGATGAACTCACCGTTGATGTGTTCGTTCGCGCCGATGGCGACGTAGTCGTGTACGAGGAAGTGATTGACGAGGCCATTGTTGAAAGCGTGTGCGAAGCTGACGACACCGAGGACCAAGAAGAGACGCACGCGGAGAAACCCAACTCGCGGGTTGTTCCAGATGTGCTGGACACCCTTCACTCTTTCTTCAGCACACATGACTACGACGTAGCAATGGACCCCTTTTTCCAGTGCGAAGGGAGAGCTTTGAAGTTGTTGCATGGCAAGGGTCGGCAAAGTAAGTTGACCTACTTCTGGCAATTAATTTTCGTTCTCCTGGCCATATCATTGTTTTTATGTCTTATACTTGCGGCCACGAAATTCTCGGGAAAACGAAATTTTTCGGTTTCTTTTCGGTTTCGAAATTTTTCGGTTTTTTTGTGGGTTTCAACTGTAATTTGTCCCATCTGCAGCGAGTTCTTTCAGGTCGTTTCTACCTGCAGATGTAGCGCTGTGGAAGAGTCGGAAGGAGCAATCACCCGCTCGGCGGGGCGGTGGTGCCCTCTCTTGTACGTCACCGAAGTCAGCCGCATGTTTCCGAAAAAGTTTTAGTGATCTTAATTTTAATACTGAGATTACTTCTTGGTTAGTTCTTGTAATTACACTCAAACTTCACCATTATCACAAAGTTGCACATAAAAAAATAAGTTTGTTATATCCAAAATTCGTTATAAAGGTTCAACTCTAATACTATAACAATCGCAAAACTATTTCATGTTTACTTCGTTGTAACCGATATTTTGTTATACAGTCGAGCCCACATACACAGTCAAGCTCGCTGATAGCGAACCTGAACGTGACGCGGCATCCGTTCGCTGTATCCCGAAGTTCGTAGTAAATGAAACACAGCTTTTAAAAAAGTTGCGAGTGATAACACAAACTTTTCTTGCCCTAAATAGTCCGTGATGCACGTGTTTCAAAGAGCAAAAGCGATAAGGACGGTCTCGAGTTCATTTAAAACGGCAGGGTGCTCGTTCACCGAGGCCCATGGCATAAGCTGCATGAGGCACTGGCTCTGAAGTTTCGTCATTCTCGCAATCCCATTCCTTCAAATCGCTCTCGCCACGTACCTCATTCAGAATGCCCCAATCTGTGCACGGTTCCACAGTGTCGGCATCATCATTGCCCATAATTAAACCATCGCAACAGATGTCCAACCCGCTCTTCCAGGTCGGAGTCGACGATGCGCTGCCACACATCGTTGCCGCAGTGGTCCTGTTCGAAAGCTTCAGGCTCGGCATCAGGCCCGACGTCGACCTCCCGAAAACAGTTACGCGCGCATGTAGCCGTCTTCATCGCTCACGAAATATTCACCATCTCCACAGACGAATACCGGGACGCCCGAAACGGCAAGTTGACTGCCAGGTGGTCAATAGCTATGATTCGCAACGCGGCAACGTTGCACTCCGCAACGCGGCACCTAACGCGCGGATTACGCTCAAGCCAAGCGGTCACACTTTCGACGTTTTGTTGAGCCGCAGAAAAAAGCGTGCTAGACCTCCCCTCCCGTCGGCCATCATGACCACACACGCGCACCTAGAGCAAGCAAAACGCGTGGAACAGCTGTGGGCCGTTTCCAGTCAGAAAACGAAACTAATTCGAGCCAGCGTGGTGGACGTCGCGGAGTGGTGGAGACGGGCAAAGGCATTTCCTTCCTCCGTGGGCGAAGGAATTGTGATAAAGAGAGGGGAGGATGCGGCTGGAGGGCAACCTTGAAAACCAAAACACACGGGAAGGAGGCAGGTTGGGTGGCTTGCTTGAAAGGTCCGCGAAACTCGCCCGTAAAAAAACTTGGAGAGAGTGCCTAAGCGCGCAGAAGTCAAAGCACGGCCAGCTGGCTCGGGCGCGCTGCGGCGTTCGAAGAATCGGCGGCCGTGGTGAAAAAATTTTTTGTTGCGGTGGCGGGTTTGCCTGGCCTCACGAAGTTCGATATTTCGCGATTCGTTCCGCGCAAATTAAAAGCCGTTTTCACGTTTCCGCACTCACGCGGGCGGCTGCTGAGCCGAGTGGGAAGTGAGAGGTAACAAGTCCTAAACACGAAACGAATCGCGAATTATCAGAGTCAGTGGGGTAGCGTTCCCATGTGAACTAGACGCAGACTATCAGATACAGTTGGTGGCTGATGATGTAGGCAAATGGTCTGGTCACTCCAGGCCGGCGACGCCAACGACAGTACAGCGATCAAAAACAGGGGAGATGGCTGACCCATCTTGGAAAGATCGGAGGCAGTGTGAAAACACGGGCCCCTTCTGGCGATGCGGTGTGCTCAGAGTAGTGGTGGGGGGGGAGGGACAAAGCACGGAAGGAGGCGTAACAAAAAGTGGTCCGGGCATGGAGGCAGGAAACAGCTTTCCTTCCTCCATGGGTCAGGGAGAGCGGCAACTAGAGGGTCGCGAAGGCAGGGTCGGCGTTTAACAATAAGAATGTATGGGCACCGAAGTGATCCAAAGTGGTTTCCCGGGAAGTCGGCAGACCGCTGACTCCGCTCGCTGTAACTGATCAGCGGCGCTCGGAGACGTTCGTTGTAAGTGCGATTTTGTGCCACTGAAGCAATGTATATTTTCACAGTCACGCGGATATTGTTCATTCTAAGAGAAAGTTCGTTTTAAGTGGGGCCGTTATATGTGGGCTCGACTGTAGTGGCCTCACTTAAAACGAACTTTCGCTTAAAACGAACAATACCCGCGTGACCGCGAAAATATGCTTTGGTTCAATGGCACAAAATCGCACTTACAACGAACGTCGCCGAGTGCCGCTGATCGGTTACAGCAAACAGAGTCAGCGGTCTGCAGACTTCCGGGGAAACCAATTTCGACCACCGATCAGGCATCGGCGAGGTGCCCATACATTTTTAGTGTTAAACGCCGACCCTGCCTCCGCGGCCCTCAAGTTGCCGCTCTCCGCAATCCATGGAAGAAGGAAAGTTGTTTCCTTCCTCCATGCCCCGACTGCTTTTTGTTACGCACCCCTCTGTCCTTTGTCCCCCCCCGCTACTCTGAGCACCCCCCATCGCCAAATGATGCCCGTGTTTTCACACTGCCACCAATCTTTCGAAGACCAGTCGGCCATATACCCTGTTTTTGATCGCTCGAACTGTCGTTGGCGTTGCCGGCCTGGAGTGACCAGACCATTTGCCAACATCGTCGGCCACCGACTGTATCCCATAGTCTGCGTCTAGTGCACGCGCGTACACTGCCCCACCGACTCTGATAATTTGCAATTCGTTTCGTGTTTAGGACTTGTTCTCGTTCACTTCGCACTCGGCTCAGCATGCCTGCCACGTGCGTGCGGAAGGGCGAAAACGGCTGTTAATTTGCACGGAACGACTAGCGAAATATCGAAGTTCATGAGGCCACGCAAACCCGCCTGTAAAACAAAACATTTTTGTGACTACGGCCGTCGATTCTTCGAACACCGCCGCGCGCATCGATCCAGGCGGCCATGCTTTGATGTCTGCGCGCGCAGGAACTCTTTCCAAGTTTTTCTATGAGCGAGTTTCGTGGACCTTTCAAGCAAGCTACCCAACCTGCCTCCTTCCAGTGTGTTTTGGTTGTCAAGGTCACCCTCCCGCCGCATGCTCCCCTCTCTCTATCGCAACTCCTTGCCCTTCTCTCGCAAGTCTGCTCTCCTCTCTTGATCACAATCCCTTTGCCCGTCTCCACCGCTCCGCAACGCCCGCCACGCTGGCTCGAATTAGTTTCGTTTTCTGACTGAAAACAGATCCAAGGCTGTTCCAAGTGTTCTGGCATGTGTGTCGCGTGAGCGCGTCTTACTCGCTCATGGTGTGCGTGTGTGATCAGGATGGCAGACGGGAGGGTTTGCACGCCTTTTCCTGCCGCTCAACAAGACGTCGAAAGTGTAACCGCTTGACTTGAGTGTAATCCGCGCATTAGGTGCCGCGTTGCAGAGCGCTTGCTTATAGATGCTGACCACCTGACAGCCAACTTGCCGCTTCGGGCGTCCCGGTAATCAGCTATGGAGATGGTGAATATTTCGTGGGCGGCAGTGCCGACTACATGCACGCGAAACTATTTTTGCCCGACACCGAGCCTGAAGCTTCCGAACTGCGGCCGCGATTTGTGGCAGCGCATCGACGACTCCAACCTGGGAGAGCGGGTGGGACATCTGTTGCGATGGTTTAATTACGGCTGATGATGATGCTGACACTGCGGAACTGTGCACGAATTGGGACATTGTGAATGAAGTACGTGGCGAGAGCGATTTGGGGGAATCGGGTTGCGAGAACGACGGAACTTTGGAGCCAGTGCCTCATGCAGCTTATGCCACAGGCCTCGGCGAGCGAGCATCCAGCCGTCTTAAATGAACTCGAGACCGCCTTTATCGCTTCTGCTCTTCGAAACACGTGCATCGCGAACTTTTTGGGGCAAAAAAGGTTTGTGTTTTCACTCGCAACTTTTTTTAAAAGCTGTGTTTCATTTAGTATGAACTTCGGGATACAGCAAACGGATGCCGCGTCACGCTCAGGTTCGTTATAAGCGGGCTCGACTGTATCCAAATTCGTAATATCGAGGTTTAAGTGTAGATTATTTTAGACGTTTGCTTATTTTAATCCGGTTTCGAGCATTGCTAGCCTTCTTATGGGCCTGTATCGAGCGCTTAATTGTGAGCGTGATCGCGCCACATAAAATCCATGGACGGACCACAAACAAGGCTCCCAAACAGCATGGTGTTTAGCATTTTTTTTGTATTAGTAAATTCCTTTTTAATGATAACAAGTACACCATGCTTGCAACGAGAATACACTTGCTAAGCGAGCAAACGCGCCAGAAGAAAGTACGGGTGGCGATGCTACCTTGAAGTTCCTGCATCAGCCACCGTGATGTTGCAAGTTTTGATGGCATCTGCGAGGGCCTACATGTTTGATAATGATGTCTGAGTGTATATAAGGAAACTTTAGCCAAGAAGAATGGTTCATTGACCATTAGCTCAGTGTTTGTGGCCTCTTCGTTGCCCAAAGTGCAATTAAATGGCAAAAGTAAGTATATTATTTTCTAAAGAGTATGCTGTGACATAAAGGGTTATCCCCCAACTATAGAATGTGTGGCTTGTTTGGCATTAAATTTTCTCAAAGTCATAATTTCCTCTTCCCATGCTGTCTTCAAGACCTTTACCCTGCCATTATGAAGTCATCCAAAAAAAGCCTTTCAGAAAATGTTCTACTTTCCAGTGCAACGTGTTCCGCTTGTTAGACAAGAGGTTGTGCATCACTACATGAAAGGAATGAGAAAGAACACAAAACGCTGTATTGTACATGTTGTACCTCTACATTCATTAGTAAGACGGCATCACGGACATTTTTCAGAGCTGTACGTAATGAAATAAACACTCAACAAAAAAAAATCAGGGAAACACGTACACAAATATAGGAAAAGACAGCACGTTGAATGATTCAGCCGACTCTAATTGAATCGACAAGGCTTACCTTGTCTCCTAAGAGTTTCCAGATCGTGTTGACGAGTGGCTGTCGTCCGTCGTCAAAGAATAGGCTGCGAGTAAAAGTGAAAACTGATTTGCAATCGAGCTCGGTGTCACTTAATGCAGTTATGAAATGTCAAACTTAATGAAATATCGTAGACTATGTTCACATACAAGACTCAAATGTTGAATTAAGGCTAGCACTCACAATGATGCTGAGCAGCCATTTCTGTTAAATTTCTGTTAAATCAACACTGCCTCGTTAATTCTCCATTTTAATTCTGCAGTGAAGACATGCACCATAAACCAAATGATCAAATTTTTGTTGGTGAAACTTGCCTAACATCATAGTTGTTGATTTCACCGTAAAAGTAATGTCTATTCCTCGAAGTAATCTATCGTGACATGCAGCTTCACCATTGTTTTCTTTTTTCTTTGATATTTTTTTGCTGTACACACTCGGCATGAAATGTGCCCTCATTTATTGGAAGCCCCTCAAACCTTAATGATGACATGTGAGGTTTAACATCTCAAAACCCCGATATGAGCCATTTGTCATTTCGAATCGTGCTTCGAGTGGTCCGTGTGTGGCGTAGCTCAATGGCACCAAACAGGCGGTGTCATTACAGCGCCGCTTATGAAAGGAAAGTTAACCTAGCCACGAAGTTGTCGTCCAACGATGAAGCCCGGTTGTATTTTGGAATGGATGAAAAAAATGTGCGTTGCTAGAGGGGCTTGAGCATGGGACGACATCCCAAGTACTTTGATCTAATGCACTTGATGGCACCGAGGATTGCGCACTGTTTGAAGACAGCGACAAAGAAGTCAGAGACGAGGGAAGCAGCAATGATGGCTCGGAATGAGCGCGACATCGGCAAGCATGGCATCTTTAAGATGCAAATAAATAGAAGCAGTGCGTAAAAAAAGCAAGAACAAAGAAACACACAATGGGACTAGTGGCTGTACATTTCTCGTGTTATTTGCATCATAAAAGAGCTGTTTTGTTTCGTTTCATGCTCAACGAATGTTTTCTCTTTGTAAACGCTGTCTTCGCTGTTTCGTTCGGCCTACATTCGAGGTAAGTTTTTTTTTTTTTCAAACTTAAGAATATTGGGGGTCAGCTTGGAATCGGGGTCGGCTTAGATTCGAGTAAATACAACAAAGCAGCACTGACATACTAAACATATGTAACATTGGTGTAGGATTTAAGATGTTCTAGGTTGCCGGTAGATCTTGCCTGGCAAAACTTGCCGGCGACTGGCCCACCCGGTTTCATCTTGACTGTATTGAGCTAATGTCCTTCAAGTAGAGCGCAGACATGCTCTTAGAAAGTCGCAAGCACAGGGATGCAGCTCCGCATCAGCCGTTTTCCTGTGAACTATTCCGCATGCAGTGTTGTACTGGGTCTCAGTGTAACTACACCACACCCCAACGTATTTATCGCCACACCAATGCAAAATCTGTAGCGGTCAAAAACTTAAAAAGTCGCCAGTTACACGTGAAAGCTAGTATACGTACCAGTCGGCCGATATGATGACGTCAAACCGTCCTGCCAGGTCCTCGATGTCGTCGTCATCGTCCCATCGTATTCTCCTGCAAAACAGGAGTCATGAGAACGAGGCCAAGACTCTTTTAAAAAATGTTTTTTGACATGTTACAGGTGCACTTATATCGCGTTGCTTATAGGCACTGAAGAAGGCTGTTAAGTGCGCTCTGCATTACCTACAAAAATGAAATGGCCAGCAATGTTTGGAGGGAGAGGGGAAAGGTATAACCGCATTTTATGCACCTGTTCCTACTTGTGTTTGTACCTTTGTGTGCTTATGTGCATATGCAAAATTGAAAAAAAAAATTCAAAAAGGGGGTGGGTTTGATCCCTCTGCCCCCAGTGATCTACACTTTCCACAACCGACACTATAACTGCCCAGTTAATGTTAAAGGCTAGCACAAATTTGTTGTCAGAAGTTCGTTGTATTAGGTATTGATGATGATGATGATTGGTGCTTTGTCTTTGTAGCGCAAGAGCCATTTGATGACCAAAGAGTGCCAGTTCATGGGGCAAGAGATGTGAACAATGATTGTGATTAGTGGCTGTATAAGGGCCTTAAAATTCCTTGCCCTAAGGCGGGTAAAAACATAGAAGTAATAAAATCATGACCATGCCATGAAAATTGTGTGGGTTTAATGGATGATGAAAGTTTGTGATGATAAAAACCATGGTGGGCATGTATGGCATAAGCACTAGTGCCTTGATCGTTCCCACCCTTGCGTCCAAGGGCCGTGAGGCAGGTGCTTTGTTGAGTGTAGCCACCGCAGCGGAGACCTCTCTGGAGACATCGTGCTACGGAATTCCCGGGTATATGATACGAAAAATACAAACATCTTTTAAAAAAGCTAACAGCGATTTATGTGTGAAAAGTGGTTCCCTATTGACAAACATTGCAGGATGTAGTGGTATCTGTTGTAGGTAGGCTAATAGAAAGTGTTGTCTTTTTAGCTTGTCTATCTGTCACACAAAGGTGGATCGTCCCCAGATAAAAGAAACAAATGTCTTGTGTGTATGTCCTGTTCTTAACCTTGTAAGGATTACTTCTGTGCGGCGTGATTTTGATACTGGCGGCCAATGACCAAGGTATGGCTTGATGACATGCAATTTATTACCTGTGTGAGTGTCCCATGTGCTCTGCAAATAACCCCCGAGTTTTTGTTTTAGAAAAGGTTTCAAGTCAAGTGCAGGAATTGGTATCGCAGTGTTGACAGCGGTTTTGTTGGTGGATCCAGCTAGCTGGTCCACCAGAACATTGTCTTGTATTTCACGGAGACCTGGCACGCAGCAGACTATGATATGCTGCTTGGATGAGTAGATTGTGCATAAAAGCGAATGAAGTGAGACAAGGACAGGGTTTTTGTGCTTTTTAGGTGTTTTCAAAGCTTTTACTATGCTTAGGCAATCTGTACATATTATTGCCTTCTGTAGTTTTATTTGTTTAATGTGTTTAACAGCCGCAAGTATCGCATAAGCTTCGCCGGTAAAAATGCCTGTAACAAAGTGCAGAACGCCGGCTTCCGAAACGGATGGGCCGACGGCTGCATACGAGACAGAAGTGTTAGACTTTGAAGCATCCATTAAGAACTCAGGACATATGTATTTATGTTGTAGTTCAAGGAAGTATGTCTGGATATGTGCAATTGGTGCATGCTTCAAAACCTCCAAGAAAGACACATCGCAATCTATCGCCTGCCACTGCCACGTTGGCAGACATACTGCGGGAGCCTTCGAATGATGTTCAAGTGGCACACCAGTTTCCTTCCCTAGACCCCTCACACGGAGTGAGTAGGGCTGTCTCATAGAAGGCCGTTTTTCAATTACAGCGAGGCTTGACATGTCATTCATTGTGGAATGTGATGGGCAATTCTTGTCTGCGTTTACATTAAGATAATATTTAAAAGACATGTGTAAAGAGGTTTATTAGGCAAACCAAATGGGCAGGTAGAAGATTCGAGATAGCGACAGGACGAGGAAGATGGAGGAGCTTGAGCGCCGATCTCGTGGTGCCTTACTCTGCGATGATGATTGTTGTTCCTTTTTGTTGTCATCATTCCTTCATTATAATTGCCCCCGTCGAGAAGAAAGATGAAGCCATCCTGGCAATCTAACAGGTGGGAACGAGCGGGTCGAAGTACGGCTTCAAGCAGTCCACATGAACAATATCGTGTCCACGCCGACGATGGTCACCGAGTGGCGTAAGCAGTTCAATGGCGTAATTGACGGGCGATGTGCCCTCTACCAGGTTTATTAGGCGAACCAAATGGGCAGGTAGAAGATTCGAGATAGCGACAGGACGAGGAAGATGGAGGAGCTCGAGCACCGATCTCGTGGTGCCTTACTCTGCGATGATGATTGTTGTTCCTTTTTGTTGTCATCATTCCTTCATTATAATTGCCCCCGTCGAGAAAGATGAAGCCATCCTGGCAATCTAACAGGTGGGAACGAGTGGGTCGAAGTACGGCTTCAAGCAGTCCACATGAACAATATCGTGTCCACGCCGACGATGGTCACCGAGTGACGTAAGCAGTTCAATGGCGTAATTGACGGGCGATGGGCCCTCTACCACGCGATATGGGCCATGGTAATTTGGAAGTAGCTTGGTAGACAAGCCAGGTGCACAGGGTGGTACATACAGCCATACAAGGGTTGCAGGGGCGAACTTTGCGCAGGAGGGTGGTCGTCATCGTGGGCCTTTTTCTGGCGTTGCTGGTCAGCCGTAGTAAACTGCTTCGCTAGTTGGCGGCATTCTTCGGCGTGACGGGCGGCTTCAGACATGGTCGTGCACTCAGATACATCTGGTGCGTATGGCAGCGAAGTGTCAATTGTGTGCAATGGTTGACGTCCGCATAGAAGGTAGAATGGGGAAAAGCCGATGGTGACTTGGGTAGCGGTGTTGTAAGCGTAGGTCGCAAACGGGAAAACCAGGTCCCAGTTCGTTTGGTCAGATGCCACATGCGTCGCAAGCTTGTCACCCAGGGTCCGATTAAACCGCTCAGTCAGGCCATTCGTCTGAGAGTGGTAAGCAGTACTCATCCGGTGTACAATATGGCACTGATGGAGAAGTGCTTGGATTACGTCGGATAGAAATACATGGCCCCGGTCACTGAGGAGCTCACGAGGAGGGCCGTGACGCAACACAAACCGATGTAGAATGAAAGATGCAACGTCCTGAGCGGTCGCTGTAGGAAGAGCAGCGGTTTTGGCGTACCGTGTCAGGTTATCTACAGCAACGATAGCCCACCGGTTACCTGCTGTGGTCAATGGCAGTGGTCAATGGCAGTGGTCCATAAGGGTCGATTCCGACGCGATCGAATGGGCGATCAGGGCATACAAGCGGCTGTAGTGGAGCTGCTCCTGCATTCGGTGGCTGTTTTCGTCGCTGACACTCGTGGCAGCCGCGAATAAAACGACGAACAAAAGTAAACATCCCACGCCAGTAGTACCGCTTCCTTAAACGTTCGTAGGTCTTGAAGACACCAGCGTGAGCGCATTGCGAGTTGGAGTGAAATGATGCACAGATTTTAGAGCGCAGCTTTCGGGGAATAACGAGCAGCCACTTCCTGCCGTCTGGTGAGTAATTGCGCCGGTACAAGAGGCCACCTCGTAAGTGAAGTGCGAAGCCTGGCGTCGCATTGCTCGAGTGGTGGGAAGTGTCGGTACCCCAGATAAGACGTCCAGAAGCGAAGTTATCCATGGATCGTCGTGCTGTGCAGAGGTCATTGAGTCGATGTCAAGAGCGGACAGCGCGTGTTCTATAGAAGATATAGAGGCAACCTCAGCGGACAGTGGTGATCGTGAGAGCGCATCAGCATCGGTATGTTGGCGGCTGGAACGGTACACGACGCGGATGTCATACTCTTGAAGTCGCAGAGCCCAACGAGCAAGGCGACCTGATGGATCCTTCAGTGACGACAACCAACATAAGGCATGGTGGTCTGTAACTACAGCAAAGGTGCGGCCATATAAGTATGGGCAAAATTTCACAATCGCCCAAACTATGGCTAAGCACTCTTTTTCGGTAACACTGTAGTTTACCTCAGCCTTGTTGAGTGTTCTGCTGGCGTAGGCGACGACATACTCAGGGGATCGAGGCTTGCGTTGAGCGAGAACTGCACCAAGACCGACGCCGCTGGCGTCTGTATGGATTTCAGTTGCAGCCGAGGGATCATAGTGGCGCAATATAGGCGGCTGATGTCAGGACACAGCGAAGAGTGGTAAATGCGTGATCACATTCGGAAGACATTCGGAGATGATGAGATGTCGTTGGCACTGCTTAAAAGTTTAGTCAAAGGGGCAATTATGGAGGCAATGTTGCGCACAAACTGACGAAAGTAGGAGCACAATCCTACGAAGCTGCGTAACTGTTTTACAGTCGTCAGTTTTGGGAATTCAGCGACAGTGCGTAGTTTAGCCGGGTCGGGAAGAACGCCATCCTTTGATACGACGTGACCGAGAATGGTGAGCGTCCGAGCAGCGAAGTGGCATTTCTTGAGATTCAGTTGGAGCTGCGCATTCTTCAGACACGTAAGAACATGTTTCAGGTGTACAAGATGTGTTGTGAAATCGGGTGCAAAGACGACGATATCGTCGAGGTAGCAGAGGCACATATTTCAAACCCCGCAAAACCGAGTCCATCATACGCTCGAATGTCGCCGGCGCATTGCAGAGGCCGAAGGGCATGACATTGAACTCATATAGCCCGTCCGGTGTCATGAAGACTGTTTTTGGACGATCACCATCTGCTAGGGGCACCTGCCAATACCCCGAACGCAAATCTAACGACGAAAAAAACTCGGCACCTTGTAAGCAATCAAGGGCGTCATCAATCCGGGGCAAAGGGTATACGTCTTTGAGAGTGATCTTATTTAGGCGCCTGTAATCAACGCAGAAGCGAATTGTACCATCCTTCTTTTTAACAAGAACGACAGGTGATGCCCATGGATTTTGGGAAGGTCGGATAACGTCACACTTGAGCATATCGTCAACCTGTTCAGTGCTAACCTGACGTTCTGTGGCGGAAACACAGTATGGTCGCTGTCGTATT